TTTCTCGCCCAAATGACGCATTTGGGCTCAATGTAAATGTAATATAAGATTCGTCAATGGCACCGGGAGCAAAAGTTTAGCTGAGCAGTAAAATTAAAATACTTGCGGAGGATCTATAAAAGATGGTGAAGGATGGAAGAGAGCGTGGGTAAATATGAGGTAAATATGTTTTGAAAATATACATAAGTAGCACTAAGATTCTTAAAATTGTTTTCGATTAATGATAGGAGCAAGGCCAAACAAAAATCCCAAGATTTGAGAAATGCTATGGAGCGAAGCGATGTAAATTCATCAATTAAAGAAAAGCATCTCAGTAACCTCGACGAGCGCATCATTGGCGGGATGACCACAGTGGCAGTGGTCGGTCAAAGAGAAGTTAGCGAGCCACTGGTGAGTTAAGAACATTTCCATTTATAAATTATTTCTATCCATAGATTCGAATTCGATCAAAATGTTTTTGTAGTTTGAACATACTTACTTATATATATATATCTATAATTTATATAATAATTTTTAATTACAGAGAAGTTCCGGCGCAGTAACTAGCGTGGAATTATTTGACGCCCCTGTGGACCACTTTGAGATAGAGGTATGTACATACGCCTTGTGATTGTCTTTTTTTTATTTAACTTTTTATTACAGTTTCTTGAAGGAGGCGATGAGGAACCGCAAATGACACCGGATATGATTCCTCAGGATCCACTTCCACCACAACGTCGGGCTCCCAAACGCAAAAATTACTCTTTAGAAGAACGCAGAGTCGTCTTGGCGGAAAGAAAAATTGCGGCGCTGGAGAAAAGAAACTCTATAGAAGAGAGAAAGGCCGACGTATTGTCCAATATCTTAAATAAATTGGATTTACTTCTACAAAGGTGATTGGTCTCGGAGTGATCGTAGAAATATAGATATTTGAGCTTTACGGTATGTTGCCAATGAATTCTGAACGGTACTCAGACGTTTATATTTTGACGTTAAACTGATTTTTTGAACTTTACTATTTCTTTTATAAAAATAAAGTCAATTCAATAACATTTACCACATCTATCGTTGCTTTAAACTTTGTGCGAAAGTCGCGAAAAATCAACAAATTACGAAAAGCTGTGATCAAAATTTAAAAGCTTTTATCAGAATTTTTAGAAAATGTTTACGTACGCAGATATATAGCCTTCAATTTCAGTTCCATAAAATGCAAGTTTGAAGTCTTTGGTTTAAGGTGTAATGCATTTTCTTCAACATAAAAAAATGCAGACATACTTTACGTGGAAGAAAATGCAGAACACCTTCAACCAAAAAAAATTTCAAATAATTAACCGCGAATTTTAACCAACTTCAAACTTGCACTTTATGGTACTAAAATTTAAGGCTATATAAATGCGTAGTAAAAACATTTTTTAAAAATTCTGATAAGTTTTAAATTTTGATGAGTTTTTCGTAATTAGCCGATTTTTCGCGAATTCTCCACAAAGTTTGAAGCTACGATATATGTGGTCTATGTTATTGAATTTACTATATTTTTATTACAAAAAATATGAAAGTTCAAAACATCAGTTAAACGTAAAAATGCAAACATCTGTGTACCGTTTGTAATTCAATGGTCATATACTCTAGGTTTAGTTTTCAAAGCTGTAGAACAGCGCGTTGTTTTTTACTTATGTAAATAAATTTGGTATTTAAGCTTTAGGTTAAGTTTTCAAGCTGTGGAACAGAATTTTATTGTTTTTATTTATGATTAATTTAAATTAATTAGATATTTAAGCTGCAGGTTAAGTTTTCAAGCTGTAGAACAGCGTTTTATTGTTTTTAATTATTGCTAATGTAAATAAATTAGGTATTTAAGCTGTAGCGTAAGTGTACATGTTGTAGAACAGCGTTTTAATTTTTCGTTTATTATTAATGTAAATAAATTAGGTATTTAAGTTGTAGGCTAAGTATTTCAAGCTGTAGAACAGCGTCTTAATTTTATTGAATTTAATGAATTTTGGACTGAAATATGCATATATAAATACTTAATACAAAGAAAATAAACGAATACGCAATTGTTTTTTAAATTTGAGTAAGCGTTAAATTTAAAAAATAATAATAATAAATGCTTAAATTAAAGGATGTACCCTAGTGGTGAGCTAATTAAGTTAGTTGCATTTTGACCAGTTTTGCCTGTTTTTATATTGTTTATAATGCTGACGGTGCTAGGTATTTTCTTCCACGTAAAGTATCTTCGAAACGACTATTATATAGAAGAAAATACCTGCCACCGTCAACAAAAAAATATTTAACATCAAGACAAAGTTTTAAATATTTTGGGAAATTGGTAAATCTCTTTGGTTTTTTTAATTTTTGTACAAAGTATGAAATGTGGATTTATACGATGCTGGTTATATAAGGCGCTAGGCTTAATAAACAAAACTGGTAAACATGTAACTAACTGAAAAAGCTCATCACAAATACATACATTGTACATGCATGTAAATGTGAGCAAACCACAAATCTCAGTAATTAAAATAGTTATTTACAATTTGTTGTCTTGCAGCAATACCATGATGAGTACTAGTTATTTCATCAACTAAATTAAACTCTTCATCAAAACTTATGTTATCATCATCCTCAATTTCATACCTTATATTATTTAATATCATGATATTGTGCAAAATTATACAAGCATTTATAATTTTTCCGGCTCAAACTGGGTCATACATAAGCACTCTATCTTTTGACAGGCATCGAAATCTGGATTTCAGCACTCCAAAGCAGCGTTCTACACAGTTTCTTGCTTTCCGGTGATGTCTGTTGTAATTATGTTCAGAATCTGAGAGATTGTTTCCTGGAATAGGAGTCATTAAATAAGGTAATTGAGGATATCCACTGTCACCTAAACATGTGAAAAGGAAAATTATGCTACATAAATAATATACATATGTATGTATACAAATTGAGTAAAATATACCTAAAAGCCAAAAATTTCGTTCTCCATTGGAGTACATATTGTCAAGAAAAACCTTCAAAGCACTTGCTCTCCAAACTGATGCATCGTGAGCAGTTCCGCCGAAACGAGCATTACAGTCAAGTATTCTTAAATCCATGTCACATACCTTCAAGTGATGAAATAATGTGTGTACATACAATGTTACGTATATGTATATACATTTGTAAATATGTAA